GAACGACTTTACAAGGGACGACTTTACAAGGGACGACTTTACAACTTTACAAGGGACGACTTTACAAGGAACGACTTTACAAGGAACGACTTTACGACTTTACAAGGGACGACTTTACAAGGGACGACTTTACAAGGAACGACTTTACAAGAGACGACTTTACAAGGGACGACTTTACAACTTTACAAGGGACGACTTTACAAGGGACGACTTTACAAGGGACGACTTTACAACTTTACAAGGGACGACTTTACAAGGGACGACTTTACAACTTTACAAGGGACGACTTTACAACTTTACATGGGACGACTTTACGGCCGAGATGGGTTTTCTCCGCAGGGTGGCTGGTGTCTCCCTTAGGGATAAGGTGAGAAGTTCGGTCATCAGGGAGGGACTCGGAGTTGAGCCGCTCCTCTTTCGCGTCGAAAGGAGCCAGTTGAGGTGGTTCGGGCACCTAGTTAGGATGCCACCTGGGCGCCTCCCTAGGGAGGTGTTCCAGGCACGTCCAGCTGGGAAGAGACCAAGGGGTAGACCTAGGACCAGGTATCTCTTCGCTGGCCTGGGAGCGCCTTGGGATCCCCCAGTCAGAGCTGGTTGATGTCGCCAGGGAAAAGAAAGTTTGGGGCTCTCTGCTGGAACTGCTACCCCCGCGACCCGACCACGGATAAGCGGGAGAAGATGGATGGATGGACTTTACAACTTTACATGGGACGACTTTACAACTCTACAAGGGAAGACTTTACAAGAGACAACTTTACAAGGGACGACTTAACAACTTTACAAGGGACGACTTTACAAGGAACGACTTTACAAGGAACGACTTTACGACTTTACAAGGGACGACTTTACAAGGGACGACTTTACAAGGGACGACTTTACAAGGGACGACTTTACAAGGGACGACTATACAAGGGACGACTTTACAACTTTACAAGGGACGACTTTACATGGGACGACTTTACAAGGGACGACTTTACAACTTTACAAGGGACGACTTTACAAGGGACGACTTTACAAGGGACGACTTTACAACTTTACAAGGGACGACTTTACAAGGGACGACTTTACAACTTTACAAGGGACGACTTTACAAGGAATGACTTTACGACTTTACAAGGGACGACTTTACAAGGGACGACTTTACAAGGGACGACTTTACAACTTTACAAGGGACGACTTTACAACTTTACATGGGACGACTTTACAAGGGACGACTTTACAAGGGACGACTTTACAAGGGACGACTTTACAACTTTACAAGGGACGACTTTACAAGGGACGACTTTACAACTTTACAAGGGACGACTTTACAACTTTACATGGGACGACTTTACAAGGGACGACTTTGCGACTTTACAAGGGACGACTTTACAAGGAACGACTTTACAAGGGACGACTTTACAAGGGACGACTTTACAAGGGACGACTTTACAACTTTACAAGGGACGACTTTACAAGGGACGACTTTACAAGGGACGACTTTACAAGGGACGACTTTACAAGGGACAACTTTACAACTTTACAAGGGACGACTTTACAAGGGACGACTTTACAACTTTACAAGGGACGACTTTACAACTTTACATGGGACGACTTTACAAGGGACGACTTTACAAGGGACGACTTTACAAGGAACGACTTTACAAGGGACGACTTTACAAGGGACGACTTTACAAGGGACGACTTTACAAGGGACGACTTTACAACTTTACAAGGGACGACTTTACAACTTTACATGGGACGACTTTACAAGGGACGACTTTACAAGGAACGACTTTACAAGGGACGACTTTACAAGGGACGACTTTACAACTTTACAAGGGACGACTTTACAACTTTACATGGGACGACTTTACAAGGAACGACTTTACAAGGGACGACTTTACAAGGAACAATTTTGCAAGGGACGACTTTACAAGGGACGACTTTACAAGGGACGACTTTACAACTTTACAAGGGACGACTTTACAACTTTACATGGGACGATTTTACAACTTTACAAGAGACAACTTTACAAGGAACGACTTTACAAGGGACGACTTTACAAGGGACGACTTTACAAGGGACGACTTTACAAGGGACGACTTTACAAGAGACGACTTTACAACTTTACAAGGGACGACTTTACAAGGGACGACTTTACAAGGAACGACTTTACAAGGGACGACTTTACAAGGGACGACTTTACAAGGAACGACTTTACAAAGGAACGACTTTACAAGGGACGACTTTACAAGGGACGACTTTACAACTTTACAAGGGACGACTTTACAAGGGACGACTTTACAAGGGACGACTTTACAAGGAACGACTTTACAAGGGACGATTTTACAAGGGACGACTTTACAAGGGACGACTTTACAAGGGACGACTTTACAAGGGATGACTTTACAACTTTACAAGGGACGACTTTACAACTTTACATGGGACGACTTTACAACTTTACATGGGACGACTTTACAACTTTACAAGGGACGACTTTACAAGAGACGACTTTACAAGGGACGACTTTACAACTTTACAAGGGATGACTTTACAACTTTATAAGGGACGACTTTACAAGGGACGACTTTACAAGGGACGACTTTACAAGGAACGACTTTACAACTTTACAAGGGACGACTTTACAAGGGACGACTTTACAAGGGACGACTTTACAACTTTAAAGGGACGACTTTACAACTTTACAAGGGACGACTTTACAAGGGACGACTTTACAAGGGACGACTTTACAAGGAACGACTTTACAACTTTACATGGGACGACTTTACAACTTTACAAGGAACGACTTTACAAGAGACGACTTTACGACTTTACAAGGGACGACTTTACAAGGGACGACTTTACAAGGGACGACTTTACAAGGGACGACTTTACAAGGGACGACTTTACAAGGGACGACTTTACAAGAGACCACTTTACAAGAGACGACTTTACGACTTTACAAGGGACGACTTTACAACTTTACAAGGGACGACTTTACAACTTTACAAGGGACGACTTTACAAGGAACGACTTTACAACTTTACAAGGGACGACTTTACAAGAGACGACTTTACGACTTTACAAGGGACGACTTTACAACTTTACATGGGACGACTTTACAAGGGACGACTTTACAAGGAACGACTTTACAAGGGACGACTTTACAACTTTACGAGGGACGACTTTATAACTTTACAAGGGACGACTTTACAACTTTACATGGGACGACTTTGCAACTTTACATGGGACGACTTTACAAGGGACGACTTTACAAGGGACGACTTTACAAGGAACGACTTTACAAAGGAACGACTTTACAAGGGACGACTTTACAAGGGACGACTTTACAACTTTACAAGGGACGACTTTACAAGGGACGACTTTACAAGGGACGACTTTACAAGGAACGACTTTACAAGGGACGATTTTACAAGGGACGACTTTACAAGGGACGACTTTACAAGGGATGACTTTACAACTTTACAAGGGACGACTTTACAACTTTACATGGGACGACTTTACAACTTTACATGGGACGACTTTACAACTTTACAAGGGACGACTTTACAAGAGACGACTTTACAAGGGACGACTTTACAACTTTACAAGGGATGACTTTACAACTTTACAAGGGACGACTTTACAAGGGACGACTTTACAAGAGACGACTTTACAAGGGACGACTTTACAAGGGACGACTTTACAAGGGACGACTTTACAACTTTACAAGGGACGACTTTACAAGGGACGACTTTACAACTTTACAAGGGACGACTTTACAAGGGACGACTTTACAAGGGACGACTTTACAAGGGACGACTTTACAACTTTACAAGGGGCGACTTTACAAGGGACGACTTTACAAGGGACGACTTTACAACTTTATAAGGGACGACTTTACAAGGGACGACTTTACAAGGGACGACTTTACAAGGAACGACTTTACAACTTTACAAGGGACGACTTTACAAGGGACGACTTTACAAGGAACGACTTTACAAGGGACGACTTTACAACTTTACAAGGGACGACTTTACAAGAGACGACTTTACAAGAGACAACTTTACAAGGGACGATTTTACAAGGGACGACTTTACAAGGGACGACTTTACAAGGGACGACTTTTTACAAGGGACGACTTTACAAGGGACGACTTTACAAGGGACGACTTTACAAGGGACGACTTTACAAGGAACGACTTTACAACTTTACAAGGGACGACTTTACAAGGGACGACTTTACAAGGGACGACTTTACAAGGGACGACTTTACAAGGAATGACTTTTTAAAAGGGACGACTTTACAAGGGACGACTTTACAAGGAACGACTTTACAAGGAACGACTTTACAACTTTACAAGGGACAACTTTACAAGGGACGACTTTACAAGGGACGACTTTATAAGGGATGACTTTACAAGGGACGACTTTATAAGGGACGACTTTACAAGGGACGACTTTACAAGGGACGACTTTACTTGGAACTTTACGAACATCACATGCGAAATTCAAGACTTCTTTGCGGTCTTCAGGAGGTTGATCCCGCCCATGCCCCTGCCCCCGCCTCGACATAAGAGAGACGTAAGTGGCACCGCCTCTTAGCTCCGGAATCTTGCTTGCTAGACCGATAATTTTTAGAAGCTGGAAACGAACCGGATTCCGGAGCTAAGAGGCGGCACCGCTGCGGTGTGAAGAGGAAAAACCGGTGCTTTTCAGGCTCTAGCTCCGAGCCGGCCCTGAAAACGCGTTGGTGTGAAAGGGGCATGTGAGAAGGTTTTGGAAAGTGTGTAAGAAGTATCTGCTGCGGTACCACCAGCCCACAGAGCGGCTTCTATGCTTCAGATGATCAACTTCTGATCACATTTCACAAAAGCAAATACATGATTTAGTGACTTAGAGATCACAGCTGCATTTCGCTGTGGAACCCTGATTTGTGAAATGACAATAAATGACCCTTGAACTTGAACCAAAAGACTTGTACAGACTCAAATAAATGGCCATTATATAGATACTCACGCCTCCGCAAGCTCCGCCCTCTCCTCTGTGCGCTCCAGCTCTGCTTCTACAATCACCAGCTTACGAGCCACCTGGACAAAAGCATTACATATGTTTATGCTATGAGGCTTCATACTTAACAGAGTCGTAAATAACATAATCAAATCTTTGATAATCCCCAGTGAAAGTTTAGTATGTGGACTTGTCAGTTTGAGCTATCTTATTGTGACTTAATATTCAGGGGGTGTCAGGATTATCATGTCATGTCACGTTTCTATGTCTAGGTGTGGGTGTTTTGCCTTTTTCCTTGTCATGTTTCCTCCCTGTATATTGTCTGGTCTTTTTTCCCTGTGTTTTCATGTCTGTCGTTAGTTTCCCTGGTGTGTCAAATTTCCTGATTGTTTTCACCTGTCACTCCTTGTGTGTCTTCTGTGCTCATCAGTGTCAGCCCCGCCCCTGATTGTTCCCACCTGTGTCTTGTTACCCTGTGTTTAAATTCCCCTGTCTCCCAGTGTTCAGTGTCAGTTCGTCTTGTCTATTGTCATGGTAAGGTCTATGCTCCTGGTACTCTTGAAAGGTTTTTGATTCCTCACTGCATGAGCGCTTTCATTTTTTGTTCTCTGTTCTCTGTTTTTTGTCATCTCGACAAGAGTTTTGGTGGTTACCTTTTTGTTCATTTTTGCTATTCATGGAAAAATAAAGTATCTTACAATACTTTACCTCTGTCTCCCGGGTCGTGCAATTGGGTCCTACCCCCTAAGTGCCTGAGTTCATAACAGAACGAACTGACCATTATGGACCCAGCAGACTCAGCCCTTTTGATGCTACAGGCGGAACGTCTTGGATACTCTCTGGAGTACATTTTTTATACGTGGAAAGGCGCCTCATCTAGACGGGGTAGAGAGGCTGCGTTGAAGGAGGCACGTCAGGAGGTTGCTCGCAAGCCCTGGCTCTGGAGCTTGTTGCCCGAGTGGCTTAGGGTTTTCTCACGTAGCCCTGAGTGCCAGTTTTCATGTTCTGACCCTTTCTTGGGGTCTGGTCTGGCGTTTGGAGGTCCACGAAGCCTCCAAAAGACTCCTAAGAGACGCAAGTCTCCTCTCAAGTCTCCGTTCAAGTTCCCGCTCAAGATCCCTCTCAAGTCATCTCTCAAGTCGACTCAAGTTTCCTCTCGAGTCTCCACTCAAGTCCCTACTCGTGTGCCATGGGAGGTTCTGCTGGATGTCCTGCCAACCTTGTGTCCTGTGCCGTTGGAGGCCCCGCCGACTACTCCTCTGCCGGGGGTCCTGCCAACCCTATGTCCTGTGCCGTTGGAGGCCCCGCCGACTACTCTTCTGCCGGGGGTCCTGCCAGCCCTATGTCCTGTGCCGTTGGAGGCCCCGCCGACTACTCTTCTGCCGGGGGTCCTGCCTACCCTATGTCCTGTCCCGTTGGGGGTCCCGCCGACTACTCTTCTGCCGGGGGTCCTGCCAACCCTATGTCCTGTCCCGTTGGGGGTCCCGCCGACTACTCTTCTACCGGGGGCCCTGCCAACCCCATGTCCTGTTTCGTTGGAGGCCTCGACATCACCTGTCCCACCGGCTCCGGTTCCTGTCCGGTCAACACCGGCTCCTGCCCGGTCCCCCTGAGAGCTGTGGTCATCGCCATCGCCCCTCCTCGTCCGCCCGAGACCCCCTTTTTGAACTCTGCCTTGCCCCCGGGCCGTCCGCCCGAGACCCCCTCCTTAAACTCTGCCTTGCCCCCGGGCTGTCCGCCCGAGACCCCTTCCTGGTCCTCTGCCGTGCCCTGGGCTGTCAGTCAAGGCCCGTCCTCCGGACCCCCTCCACCCACCCTGCTGGACGTTTTGGATTTTTGTTTTGTTTAGGGACGTCTAGTATCCGTCCCTTGAGGGGGGGGTTCTGTCAGGATTATTATGTCATGTCACGTTTCTATATCTAGGTGTGGGTGTTTTGCCGTTCTCCTTGTCATGTTTCCTCCCTGTATATTGTCTGGTCTTTTTTCCCTGTGTTTTCATGTCTGTCGTTAGTTTCCCTGGTGTGTCTAATTTCCTCATTCTTTTCACCTGTTACTGCTTGTGTGTCTTCTGTGCTCATCAGTGTCAGCCCCGCCCCTGATTGTTCCCACCTGTGTCTTGTTGCCCTGTGTTTAAATTCCCCTGTCCCCCCCAGTGTTCAGTGTCAGTTCGTCTTGTCTATTGTCATGGTAAGGTCTATGCTCCTGGTACTCTTGAAAGGTTTTTGATTCCTCACTGCGTGAGTGCCTTCATTTTTTGTTCTCTGTTTTTTGTCATCTCGACAAGAGTTTTGGTGGTTACCTTTTTGTTCATTTTTGCTATTCATGGAAAAATAAAGTATCTTACAATACTTTACCTCTGTCTCCCGGGTCGTGCAATTGGGTCCTACCCCCTAAGGGCCTGAGTTCGTAACAGGGGGGGGCAGAGACAGGATGTTTCTGTAGGCCAACATGACTTCACGTCACCATGCACCTCAAAGCTAAAGGTGGCTAATGTTCGGCGTGATGACGTTTAGTCGTGTCATTTAGACACCTGTGAGCAACCGCTGTTTTAAGACTAACAGAAGCTTCAGACGTTCACCAGTGAGGTATTTACTAACGAGTTGTATTCTCTTCTGCTTGTGTTACCAGAATTCATACCTCTAACCAAAGACACGTTCAGAAGAAATCTGCAGTGTTAAAATGCTAACTTATTTCCAGGTTTTTTTACTGCACCACAACAATGGCTGTATGGCTAAATACTGTCAGCAAAATATACAGTTTGAATAATGTGCACTTTATTATCTTGTTTATTCTGTACACATTATTTTGCACATCTACCTGACCATCCTTCCTCTGTTGCTCTTTCTGAGGTTTGTGAATTATTTTCCTTTTGGGGGGGAATTGTTCCTTAGAACAGAGGTGGTTGTACACTGTAAAGCCCTCTGAAGCCAAATGTGTTAATGGTAATATTGGGCTATATAAATCAAATACGATGACTGATACTGTAAAAAAAAAGTCCTTTCAGATGATGACTTTTTGGGTTCTTGAAGAAGTGTCACCATTGAAGTGTCTCAGCCCCCACCTCGTGCAGTAACCCTAACCCCCAGAACACTCACCTCCTCATACTTGCGGTCGGCCTCCTCTGCGATGTGTTTGGCCTCCTTCAGCTGGATCTCCTGAAGCTCCATCTTCTCTTCATCCTTTTGGGCCCTGTTCTCAATCACCTTCATGCCTCTGCACACACAACACATTAGTTATTTCTTGCAGCATACACACTTTTCAAAATTGAAAAAGCCTTCTTAAACAATGTGCATATGAATTGCTTCCTATGTAGCAGAAAAACATTCATTGATATATGAATGCTATCAGCAGACTGTCAATATTATGTGAGCTTTAATGCTATGCGAGACAGTATTAATATTAGCACCTGATTTAGTTGTAGGCCTAGTCTTAGTCTGTTGAGGAACATGTTACTCAGTGTGTGTCAAGTTTTAGTATTTATTTGTCAATTCAAAACAACAAAGAACACATTCTTTGATAGATTGATGAATTAGTTCATTTACATTTGGTGGAAGTCTGCTGTAACATTATGATCCCTTGCTAAACCAATCTATACATGCCACATGACCTGACCAGCTGCACCTGCACCGTATGTGCAGGACCATCAACAACAGGTCATTAAAAGCAGTCTTCACAGACTATGGTGGATTCTTAATCAGTCTCGTAGTTTAGTTAGTAGTAAGTAAGACTTGCACATAGACATGTACGTAAGTGTACATATGTGTAAGCTTAGCTACTCTGTGTTGTCCCATATTATTGTTGTTGTGTTTATTCAAACTCAGAGGTGGAAGAAGTATTCAGATTTTGTACTTGAGTAAAAGTAGAAGTACCAGAGTGTAGGAGTACTCTGTTACAGTAAAAGTCCTGCATTCAAAATGTTTCTCAAGTGAAAGTATAAAAGTATTCTCATCAAAATATAGTGAAAGTAGCGACAGTAAAAGTAGTCGTTGTGCAGATTGGTCCATTTCAGAATAATATATATATGTTTTATAATGATTGATCATGAAAGTGTTCTCAAAGCTGGTAAAGGTGCAGCTAGTTTGAATGACTTTGTATACTGCAGGGTAGCTGGTGGATTTACTCCAGGTGGAACTAAAGTCTGATTTAACACTTGATTAGATTTCACATCATTCATCCAGCATCAAATGTAAATACTCAAGTAAAGTACAAGTATCTGAAAACTGTACTCAAGCACAGTACTTGAGTAAATCTACTTAGTAACTTTACACCACTGTTCATACTGTTAAACGATGTTCTATCCTATGTTTAACTCTTATTTCCGTTGCTGCTGTGACTCCTGAAGGGGCTGGATATATTTGTATCTTAAATCACAGCATGTTTCACCTCTCGCTTTCGTCTGCAGCCTTCTCCGCCTCCTCCAGCTTCTGCAGAGCGGTGGCCAGCCTCTCCTGAGCTCGGTCCAGCTCCTCCTCCACTAGCTGGATGCGTCTGTTCAGGGAGGCCACCTCTGCTTCAGCCTGAGCAGACACGGTCAGGACGGATCATAGAAAACCACTGTTGCTAATGCCAATGCATATTCATTTGTATATGTATTCTGAAGCCAATGTAAAGCAAAATATGATTTGTTCACACACTGTAGCTTATGGAAATGTATTGCTTGCCGAGGATCTGCATATCTGGTTTTAAGAGGCTGAATATGACCCTATAATTTTAGACTGCAGATCAGAAAGTCATGACACCAAGGTCGTAAGTATGTGTGGAAGCTTTTGCATTCTCCTCATAGGGGAGTTGACTTGTTACACGTAACTGCCTGACATTAACATTACCATGGCAATGACATTGAGAGTGGTGGGGGAACCGCAGCTAAATAGACAAGGTCAATACTAAAGATTTGAAATCTCTTAATGTATGTTGTTTTTAAATAAATCCCAACGATAACATATTAACATATTGGCTCTTGACTGGGTTGCATTTTATTCTTATTTTATTCTGATTGTATTCATATTTTATTCCTTACCATTTATTTTTATTATTTTTATTTGAAACCAGTTTTTTTTCCGTTCTGCGTTGGTTTTCTTCAATCACAAAGCTTTGTGTTATTCTGGTTATTCCTGGGATGGGGGAGATAGTATTGTATTTTGTACATTATCTATGTGTTGATTTTTGAAGCACTTGATTAAAAAAAAGCCCCTTGACATCCATCTTGACATAATGCCACGCCCTGACATGGTATTTGTACCAGTCCTTCTCTGGAGGCAGAACAATGCAGCTGACAGCTGGGCTTCTATATGAAGACTGAGAGACATTGTTGAGCAAAGACTCTGAAACTGAACAGTGTCGGCAGATTTCAGACTGCAATGTTTGCTTTCCTTTATTCTCAGATTGTAGATCACCATAGCTGCTGCTTCAAGAAACTATAGTTATAACCAGTGGTGGAAAAAGTATTCAGAGGCTTTACTTGAGTAACAGTACCAATACACTGTTGTGCATATTTAATTACAAGTATAGTCCTGCATTCAAAATCTTACATAAGTATACTAAAGTACTATCAGCAGGTTCTTAAAGTATACAAAGTAATGATTGTGCCTTATATGTGTGTATATAATTATGTATTATATTTGTGACATTTCTAGTTAGTATGAGTGCATCAAGAAGCATTTTACTGTTCTGATAACATTTTAATAATTAGACTATTTTAAGAATTAGTTAGTCCACTAGTTTCATTTTAAGAGATGCATTTTCTTAAAAGTGTTAAATAAATGATTGGTAAAATTACATGATTTCCCTCTTAAATGTAGTGGAGTAGAAGTATAAAGTAGCATGAAATGGAAATACTCAAGTAAAGTATAATTAGCTCAAAATTGTACAGTACTAGTAAATGTAATTGGTTACTTCTCACCACTGATTATAAGCATAGAAGTCTGTGCTTGTATTGCTGTAAGCAGTGTACCAAATGTTTATTTTGTGGTAGCAATCCCACAAAACATCAGAGACATATAACTGAACTTTAATTTCTATAAGTAGAGCAGTTCTGGAAAGTAATAATTCATTCTCTACAAAAGGAGACAGACTAAATACATACTGTGTCCCGGGAGGACTGGACGATATACCTAAAATGGACTTGGACCATTGTTAAGCCTGCAGTCAAGGTTGCCCGGCTGACATCATGGCCAAAATAGAGCTCTGAATCCCCCCTGACAGCTGTGAGGAGTCCACGCCGAGCATGATGGGAATGGAATGCAACAGCGAAGCAGTGAATCAGCCCGGCCAGGTTTACACTGGCAGCATCACAGCTTTTATCATAGGCTCAGTTCAGGGCTCCGGGGCTGTGAGAAGGTTATATTTCTATAAACCTTTAAAAGTTATATTTAAAGGTTTACCGTGCGTCACAGAAACAGACGAGGTGAACAACCGACTACTGTACCTCCACTCTAACACCGCTTTTTTCAATCGTGCATGGAGGGGAATAGGAGTTTAAGCTACACTACATACAAAACTCACAAGAAATGCCTGGCTTATAAAGAAAATACCGATCTAAATATACACTACTCCGGAAGCTATGGTTTCAATAGAAATGTATATCTTTAAGGTTTAGATTGAGATTATATTGAAATATAAACTAGGTCTTATCATTGCAGTAAAATCTCCCACATTGTCCCACACAAAGACACTCTTTGTCCCACATGTGTCTGGTTGGCACCTGGTCACCTAGCTGGGGTGCATTATTATGGAATTGTTTTACTCACATCGGCAGCCTTTTTGTCGGCAACCTCCAGCTTCTCCTGAGCGTCCTTCAGAGCCTCAGAGTATTTATCCAGCTCGTCCTCCGTCCCCTTTAGCTTCTTCTGCATTTGCAGGATTTCGTCTTCATGCTGGTGGTGGTAGGAGAGATTAAACACACAGTTCAAATGTATTACAGATTCTTTTTTGTACTGTAGTACTTTCCATCCACCCATCCATCCATCCACCCATCCATCTACCCATCCATCCATCTATCCATCCATCCATCCATCCATCCATCCATCCATCCATCCATCCATCCATCCATCCATCCATCCATCCATCCATCCATCCATCCATTCCATCCATCCATCCATCCATCCATCCATCCATCCATCCATCCACCCACCCATCCATCCACCCATCCATCCATGATAGCATCCTCTACTCCCATCCATCCATCCATCCATCCATCCCTCCATCAACACAGTAACCTCTTCACTTTCTGTTGATAATGTTAGTTCAATTTTTTTACGTTTTACATTTCAAAAAGGTTATTATTACACATTGCATCTTAAATATGATCATTGAAGCGTTGTCTCGAGTTAGGTCCAGGGGTATGAATAATTATCAGCAAAGGCAGCGAAGCACACAAAGATGATATAATACCATTTAATATAACATGCACACCAGAATAATATATAATCTATATTATAGTCTGCATACATGTACTATAGAAAATAATGTAGTATAACATATTCAAATACTATAGTATAATTTGACAAATAATACAATGGAAAAAGAGTGTGCAGGCTGTGTGGAAATGGGTACACAGAGCGGCTGATTGGTGTGTGTTCTGATCCGTCATGCATCCAGCCAGCGGAATGAGCTGCCCATCTGGTCCTGGAGAGGATGGGAACAGTTATCCAGGATGGCTTTGGTTTTGTACTTCATCTTCCTCCTGTTCTACCTCCAGACTGTTCAAGTTCATCTAGAAATGGGTCTGAGTCTGAGTTGGTCAAATCTATTGGATAGCTTCCAAAATCTTCCTCTATTTGCAATTACTCTTTCCAAAGAATGTGTGGATTTTCAATTGGAAGAATTTTAGGAATGAACATGAGGAATAATTCCGGATAACAAAAACTTCTTCAATGCACATACTGCCAAAATGATAGCATCCTCTACTCCCATGTTTGGCTGGTGTGCAAAGGTATGTCTTCATTGAGAACCCATGGGCATGCAGGAGGTTCTAGGTCCATCTCAGGTTTAGAGACCTGAGATGCTGTCTGGCCCACAAACCTAGGTTTATGTTGGAGCTTGGATTGCTCCCTGGCCAACTTGATGGGGAAAGGGCACAGCTGGGATAGGTTGTGATGCAGCAGCGGTTGATGTGTTATGGATGAGGGTCCTTGGTTTCAATCCTGTGTTACAGTTGTGGTTCATTTTAGAACAATCTTTTCCCTTCAGTTTTTTATCAGTTTCCTCTCTAGTCCTTTGGACAGGACAACGGTTGTATTGTTTGGAAAGCATCACACTATTTTGGGGGGTACAATGATGTCCTTAAAGAAATTGATGTAATCTGTTGTCCAGAGGAGAGACCCTCAATATTACCCAACATAGTTCTACTGGAACTATTCCCGGTCTGTGACATGGAACTTCTGTCGCCTCATCAGTGGCTCGTAGGTGGCTCTAAGCGATGTCTGTGTGAAGGATGTCACTAACGCTCGCTGTCTGGCTAGTCAACCTACCCTTGTTCCTTCACACTATTGGTTCCCTGGCACCCAGCACTGAAACCCAGTGGCTCCTCAAACCTCACTAAAGACACTGCTGTTGCCTACCATGCTGCGAACGCTCAACCTTGTTTCCTACAGAATTATGATTCCATGCAACAGCATTTCTCCTGGACAGTTTAACACTTGTGGTTAACGTTGTAAATTGAAAGAAAACAAAACAAATTGGTATTGCTTGGACAATACAATGATGGGGTTATGTAACATCATGATTTGGCTACAAATAAGCACGTTTGTAACCTTAATCATTTTGAAGTTGTAAATCAAAGTGACAGTGATGGACATCATACTTAAGTTAGAGTATTAATACAGAAGTGTAAAAATCACATTCAAAATTGGACTTGATGACCAAAGAACAATTTACAAAACCTTTAGCAGGACATTATACCGCCCTCACGTCCATCTTCCCCAGACTTTGGTTAGAAATTATTTGTGAAACATTTCAAACAAACATGATTGACAACACAGTTTCATTGTATAGGAAAATACTTTTTGTAAGGGCACCAAGCAGGAATTGTGGGGCTTCAGCCAGGACACTGCAGGCTCACACTATGTGTTTCACTAATGGAAGGGGCCTTGGCGAAGTTCTACAGTTTATAATAACTTCATCCAGGATTAACAACTCAATCCTCAAACGGCTTCAAAGGATCTGGATTAGCTTGATGAGAATAAACAGGTTTATTTTAGCTTGATGAAAGCATGATAGCTCGATAATTATAGTACCGACAACAACTTCTCATCATGTGCATCGAAGTCTTCTGGTGTCAACTCTGCTTCCATTAAAGAGCTCTGACTTAAGCCTTGAGTTTGTCTGGTTCGATTTACAATTCCTATTTTTCTCAGTCTGAGTTTTGTATCAGGGCATCATGAGCACATTCATACATAAACCATCACATTTCCACTCATACAACCAATCATATAACAAGTCAGGGCCTTTTGGACATGTCCATAAAAGGTAAACACTTACTTTTCTATAATCTGTACTTGAACGATCCGTTGTAATGCTCTGCTTGAGTGCAATCTTTTTATTTAGCATGTTGTATAATTTTCTTATTGGTTTGTCAGAGTTGGATTTTGTCACATTTGTATCTTCTATTTATTTATGTTATTTTAGTTTGTGTGCTTATATTGTATTATTGTCTTTGAGGACCCCTTTGAAAATGAGATTCCAGAAGTAAAAAGGGGATTCATCGATGAAATCACTGAGAATGGTGATGTTTATTTGATGGAGTCGAAAAGGGTCAGCTATGGTTAGATACTCATGAAGCAGCGAGGGTTATTTAATAACCACTGTGTGTTATGTATGATTTAAGTCAAGGTTGCACAAAAGAGTTAAGGATTAAGAAATAGGAATTGTTAGTATCTTTGTGCTGCTCAGAGCCTTATTCAATGATAATCAGGACCAACTCGTGAGGAAAGTGGTCAGAATGTCCATTTACAGATTGAAATGGTTAAATGCTCAAATTCTACCATCCACTAATAAAGTAGTTTACTTCGGATACGGACAGAAAACTCTGGTAACAAGTTCAGACAAAGACATCCTCCATTATACATCATGGAACAAATGCTAGAACAGCTGCAGGATCTCTGTAATGTTAGCTCTCCCAATCCAACGTTAAAGTAGACTCATGAATGTATTGTTCAAATGGCTTCCTTAACGTTATGGGGAAACTGAACAATTAGCTCTTGGCTAACACCCACACATGAAACCAAATTAAAAAAAGAAACCGTGAATTATTATTTCTGTCTCTGACTGTACCGACCTATGCATGGCATGTGGCATGGCATGGCATGGCATGTGGCAATAGATACACAATGCCAGTGTAAAGATCAAGAGCGGCAAGGCTAATAAAATATAACTTCAGGTTATACCATCATCTTCAAAATGATTGATGAACCCTTCCAGAGTCAGATTTCTGACCACATAAGACATGAGCTTTAGTAACTCCTCAGTTATGATAGCTAGTCAGTGGAAGAAAAAGTCCCTTGAAGGAGTGACAGGTAGCCCTAAGGCCCATGACATGAATCCTTCCCTGCCTCACAGGACCTTCAACGGAATATGGATATATATATATATATATATATATATGATTTGCATAAAGTCCCCTGTAGTCTTCATCTTGTACACCACCCTAACCCCAACCCTAACTGCACACATTGTACAATTCTGTCTCTGGCATTCAAGAAGTGTTAGAGTTGGGGAGCAGTGGGTAGCTATTATAAAGCATCCAGGGAGCAGTATGGGGGTCAGCTGCCTTGCTCAAGGACACCTCGGCATTGAACCTTACAAAGTACCTGCCTCACACCTGTTTAATATGAGTTGTTGTATCCGTGTCCACAACCCACCTGCTTGCTCCTGTCTTCAGCTGCCTTCTTGTCTGCTTCAGCTTGCTCGGCCTGGTCCAGTGCGTTCTCCTTGTCCAACTTCAGCATGAGCATCTTCTTCTTGATGGCCTCCATCTTGGCTGAGGTCTGGTGGGCTTTTGCAGCTGAGTACAGTTAGGAAGACAAACGGGTGCAGGACGGATGACCTGAGAGCCTGGCGGAGACACTAAACTCTGACATAGATAGAGGGAGAGCATTTATATGACAGAGGGGCAGACCCTCCCACATCCAAGCCCCTTAACACACACTCACCCTCCTCTAGCCCTGCAGTCCGCCCTCAAATGAGAGGTAAACCTGCACACTGACATCTTGTGTATTTGTATGTTTCCATGCTTAGAGACACAAGTACAACACCATTTTAATATTGAATCTACTCTTTTCTTTGTGATGTCAGGAAAACTAAAACAAATTAAAACATTGGTGTGACTAGAAAGACAACTATAATTGATTTCACAATATCAATATAGTTGATTTAATATGAAATAAATTGAGGCTGAGCTACGTTGCTAAACTGAAGACATGACAAAGAAAAATGCTTTAGTCTTTTTCTGTCTGTCATAATGCTCATATTACGGACCAGACAAAGGTCGAACTTCCTCCAGTTGATGAGAGTTATCTTCAAAATGTTTCAAGGTCCTCAGATACTTTGTTTTTAGTACTTTTGAAGATACATTTTATCTTACAAAGTATGCTGTAACAACTTTTTGTCTTGAATTGTACTTTGTGTACGGCCACCATGCAGTTAAACAACAGCTGTTGCTGCCATTAAGTGAGCAGAGCACTGTTACAATCTCATATCCATCTGACACCATTTAGGTCTACAGTGAGAGGCATGTGATGTAGGCGGGGGGGGGGGGGGGGGGGGGGGGGGGGGGGTATCACAACACATGGAAGATAGCAGACAGTTAGGATAGTCACTGAAGGTCCATTTCATATCTGTTCTGGTCTTTTGATCGGAGATGGGGTTTGACAGTGAGGAACATATTGTGATGGCTCATAATGTTCATGATTTAAGAAGATCATAACAAGTCATTGCCCTTAATGTATTAGCTAATTAGGTCATTAGTGCAACAGGACTGGATGGGCGCTTTAACACACTTGAGTATTACTGTATGTTAAAGGGAAACCAAAGATGTCTAAGAAAATGTTTTGAATCTATTATAGTAAAAGATAAGAAAGCTAAATGCACTCATCTACTGTACAAAGAAGAACTCACAATGAGATACATTAGAAGTCAACTGTAAAAATGTTCTGATGAAAGCATGTCAGGTCTTATAAGGTTGATGTCAATGAGAGCAGTAAGAGTGAAGCAGTACAGAAACGATGAGATAAGAGAGGGAAAACTTGTATTTACTCCGTTGTTTTCCCAAAAACAGTGCAGATGTAATGCTGATTGTCTAGTATGTGTCCATTTGGAGTGTAAGTGTTTTTTCAGGTTATAGCACTGATGGAGGTAGAGATGTCATATATTTCCCGTCAGAAGGCATTATTCATCATTCTTTTTCACTTTTAAGGAGTGTCGAGTTCCTGGGATGGTTGACATTGATGTTCACTAAATATCGCTATTGTCTTCAAAGGAAGAAGCAGGTTTTTGTTCGAAAAAATATGCTCTGAATTCATAACTAAAAGCAGCTTTTTCACACTTGTAGGAACAACGGTGAGGATGTTTAAAGTATATCTCATATATGAATTGTATTTGCGATGCTGTGAGAGTCTGTGAGATAGAACTAACACAATACAATCTGACACTGGGGAGGAATGCCTGTCCTGTAACCCTATTCCATCACCTGGCCTGTAATGCCTATAATTGGATTTCTCCAGGGGATGGGTAGAGTACAGGGGCGACGGGGTGACTATGTCAGTTATTCCCCTCTCTAGGCCCCCGATGGTTATTAATAAACATCTTTTGGCTGACATTGTCCAGAGGATTAGAATAAGAGACGAGCGGTGCACACAAATAGTCAGACATGAACGCAGAGAAAAAAGATCCAAATCACTGAGGAGGTTTGTTTCTGTCCTTATCGATGATCTGAACTCTGGGACATTTTGGAAAATGCATTTGCCACAATCAGATGAGAATGCTGGTATCAGTCCCCTGTGCGTCTCCGTGACAGTGACCTTTCCTGTGATGTGTGCAGTGCGGCCTGATGGTGTTCATACAGTCTCTGGTGACAGAATCCCCTCTAACATTAGGGGGGAAGTGCTATGTATAACTAGTTGTTTAGCATTCATGTTAAATGTGAAACAGTTCATATTCACAGAAAGAGTCATTCACAACGGTTTCAGAGGCTGTTGCTACCCTCAGGAACTTTTCCCTTTGCATGGTTTCCACATTTTCAATCATCACACATAGTGTCAAGAAATCATTCTACGCTCCACTAATCAGTAAGCTTATCATTTTCATACATGCAACCCGCCATTAGGGGCAGGTGGGGCACAGCTGCTTCAGACTGCCTTCTTCTGATTAGTGTCCACAGTGTGCGTACTTAGTCGGGTTGAGCGATGTGGGGCTGCCCATCTCTCTGTAAAAATGAACGTGTATTGTCAAAACTACACTGCACATGCTCAGAGGGGCAAAGCGCTCGCAGCGTAACTAAAACATCATCTCATATTTCAGAGTTGATTGGCTGTGAGTGTGAGTGCCGCGAAAAGTGTGAAGAGAAGCTGAGAGCTTTGAAGTACATCAGCAAAATAATAAAAACTGAAAATGAATTAAGTTGATCATCTACTGGAGCTCACATTGGAGATGCTTACCCTAGGAGAAAAACTGGAGGTACGTTGTGTTGCTCCCATCCTCCCTCTCTCACACACTCTCCCCCCCACCCCTCGTTCTCTCTTTGTATGTGAGGATCAGCTAGCTGTTGCCTCGGAACCATAGCTATTTGTTGATGTGTTAAAAAAGCACCAGAAGCCTACAGTATATAGAAATATCTAAGTTGTTCGTGCCCCACCAGTTTTTTACATATAAAACACCACTGTATACATGTGAGTGTTTTTTAACTATATTTGACCAATAGGACTTTATCAGACGTCCGGATCTTAATCAGAGGAACAAACTGGGCAGATGTTAGCCCTTAGCTCATAGCCTTGAAACACTGATTGTAAATGAGAAACGCCTTCGTTCATTGTTTCTTCATCAGAGCTTGTTGTTTTGGAGAGCAGGAGGCCCCTGAGGAAAACATGGCTCCTGGTAAAAAGAACCTGTATGATATGGGCTCAGAACAGTCTCAACATGCACACAGAAGGATTCAAACTTGTATTTCATGATCCGCAAAAGGATCCACAATTGTGTTTTTCAATGCACACACAAATGTGTTCCGTTTCATATACATGTAAATAAAATCCAAATACAGAAAAAAGTTTTATATATGTATTTTTTAGGGATGCTCCGTAAGAGTTAGACCTAACACACTTAGCTATTTTATCTACCTCTGGAACAAGCTAAACTAGTTATTATAAATATATGTATTCTTCATTGTCGGGTCACTCATTACTGGATCAGTGAGCTGCATGAGATACTGACAGGCTGTCAGGAGAGAGAGAGGCTGCTTCTCAGGTCGATTAAATGAAATCCTTGCTTCCCTCACTCGCGTCGTTTCCCTGCGTTTAGTCCCTCCCACCAGGGAAGCATGGAGGGACGCAAGGAAACCACGAGAAGCAGGGAAATGAGTTTTAAGAGCAATGGGACGTCCTTTCCTCCGGAGCGTCACGTGAAGCGACGTCCGTTTGTGATGACACTGCACAGCTGATCGTCTGACAGCAGCTCTGTCCCCGTTATTTCCACCCCCCCCCCCCCCGCCTCTGTTAGTACACATTTACTGACACAAACATTTGTATCATCTGTTGTAGACCCCAATAAATAAAATAAAATAAGAACTAATTCTCAAAAAAGATAAACGCCATTATTAACATTTATAAACGAACAATAGTTTGATTAATATTGATTAGAGTGCACAAAAGAAATAAAATAATTGAGAGAAGAAAAAGAGATATGTTATCTATCAAAACCCAGTTAGATTAACATTCATTGGATTGCACACTTTGTGTGTTTGTGTGGATATGTAGCATATTAACATTTCAATAGCACTTAATGACTGACTGAATGGAAATGACAATAAATGAAAATGTAAAACGAAAAAAGCGATCATGAAAATGTTTCCAAAAAATGAATTAAATGATTTTTGACCACTTTGTTGTTCAGATATATCACATATTTGTAACTAAATGATACATGAATTGAAACAAAACACGGTATAAACTGAGGAGTGACTCCCGTGAGGTTCATGTATTTTCTTCACTCTGCTCTCATGTCAAGAAGCATCAGATCAGTGCATGCACTGCCTCGTCCAATCAGTGAGTGATACACTGTAAGGGGGCGGGGTGAGTATCTGAGGATTTCATCGGAGGATGGTCTGGTGGTTCCTCGGTTATCGCTCCTCCATTATCACTCCTCGCTCCTCGATCCTCGGTCCTCCGGCAGAAATAAGAGCCATGGGACGGTACTCAAGATGGCGCAGGCAAATCAACTTCCGGTGAGACCGAGGACCGATGAGCGAGGAAATGAAAATAGTCGACCTGAGAAGCAGCCAGAGAGAGAGAGAGAGATGGGGAGAGAGGAAAAGAGAGCGCTTCCGCTAATTTCTCCCGTGTTATTCTCCAAAGTGAATGTAAACTTGAATAATGTACATCATTTGAATGTAATAATTAAGTTGATTGTTGTTTGTGGAAGCTCCAGTGAATGAGCCCCATTAACTGAGTTTTAAACATCACTTTAAATGGAAGATTTAAAGTGATGTTTAAATCTTCCATTTAGGCCCCGCCCACTCGATCGGATCGGCGATCGGTATCGGCCGATACTGATTCCGGCGATCGGCCCCGAAATTGGCGATCGGAGCATCCCTAGTATTTTTGATCCTCACATATTTGTTTTTCCGTTTAAAACCGCTGCACCTGCAAACACAACCCGCTTTCTGTGCACGGATCGCTGGGCATTCGTGTGTGGGTTTTTGAGACTCCCCTGACGGTCAGCCGATTTGTACTTGTAATTGTTTCTATCTATAGCCAATCACATGAGCGCGCCCCCACAAGGGTAGATTTCTTGCGTTCATGACACTTCTATACGCATTTTGCGCTGTCCGGTCAGCTCAAGCCCCCAGGAAGTGCGCCGGACTCA